TCCCTGACCACGTCTGGATGAGAACTCGCTATTCTTGAAGTGAGAAGGTAGCAAATATCGTCTCGCCAAGACATTCTGTCTGATTGGTTCCCACGCCCAGGGGTCCCCGACAAACCTTTACTCAACTTTTCGCGTTTCTTCGATGTGTCTTTTTCTGGCTCAGCAGGCGGTAAGGATTCCTTTTGGGCTTCTACCTTGGGTGTGGCGGCAGCCATCTTTGAAACATCCTCTTTTGGCTCCGCCTGTGTTGTCTCTTCCTTTCTCGGAGCTTGTTTCCAAAGCTTTTTCAACTGAGGTTGGTCTTTTTGCTTAAGGGTTTCGTCTCCCAGTAGCTGCAGGGCCTCCTTGCCTTCCTTCACTTCCACTTCCTTTTTTTCCCGGGTCTGTTCAGAGCCGAGTGGAAGCTCTGACATTAAGGAAGCATCCTGGATGAGTTTCCTAGCCCTTCTTTGTTCAGCCGATATCCCCGAAAGCTCCTTTGGCAAATCTGCCTTTTTGCTTCTCTTGGTCACTTTCAAAGTCTTTCTAACTGCAAGACATTGGGAGAAAAAAATAGTAAGAAAACGCAGAGGCTGGGAGATGTTCTGTGATAGCTCAGTGAACTGAGATTGGAGTGATAAAGGAAATGAGACTTGAGAATTTGCCAGCGCTCACACTTTTATCCTAAAAACGACTTTGGTACTTGCCACTAGGTAGACCTTTCTCAGGAAGACTACTTTTGGTGACCAGCCCCTCCCACTTTCCGTGGACCTTGCCTTATTGGCCCCAAATGTCCCACACGTCATCGCCCCATACACACTGATTTTTCTGGCCTTTTCTTGTACACGTTTCCTTCTTTTCTTCAGTCCATCGATCTTTTCCGATTCTGACAAAGGTAGAAAAGTTTGCTCAGCAATCATCTCAAGTTCCTCATACTTCACCGAATCGAAAGAAAAACGGAGAGAACTGCCCCGGTGAGACAAGGTCAGGTCTTCGTTCAGCCGCTCCTTCACGTAACCCATCAGACTCTCCATGTCGCTAGCTTGAATCCTCAGCACGTGGCTGAGGGAGAAATCCCCAACCATTTCTTGCCTACAAAAGTCATGAAGAAAGGTAGACACACTGAGCAAAGGATAAGACAAAATTTAAAAAGAGCAGCAGGGCCAGTGGGGTTGGTGGAGGCAGAGGCTGCAGCAGCGGCGGTGGCGGCGCACACCTTTAATCCCAGCTCTCAGGAGGTAGAGGCAGGTTGATCTTTGTGAGTTCAAGGCCATCCTGGTCTACAGAGTGAGTTCCAGGACAGCCAAGAGGTACACAGTGAGACCCTACTCAAAGAAAAGGAAGTGAGGGACGGAGGGACGGAGGGAGGGATGGCTCAATATTTTAGTGTTAAAAGCACTGGCTACTCTTCCAGAAGACCTGAGTTTGTTTCCCTGAACCCAATTTCAGGGCATCTGATGCCGTCTTCTGGTCTCTGAAGGCACTGCACACGCATGGTACACACACACACACACACACACACACACACACACACACACACACACACACATTCATTCAAAAGAAAAGAAAAACAAATCTTTAAAAACAAAATTTTTGAGTCAAGGTTTCTCATTTAACAGTCCTGGCTGTCCTGGAACTCTCTCTGTAGTCAGGCTGACCTTGAACTCAGGGATCCACCTGCTTCTGCCTCCTGAGTGCTGGAATGAAAAGTGTGCACCACTATCGCTGAACTCGAAAATGTTTTTAGAAGAAAATAAACAAGAGAGGGGAGAGCAGAAAATGAAAGGAAATAGCAAGAAGAGGAAATACGGGGGAGAGAAAGTTTTATAAAGCACAGTGGAAGAGGCAGGGAAAACATCAATTAAAGCAAAATAGAGAACACAGAGAGAGAAGAGAAGGTGAGAAAAATCCTTTAGCCCCAGAAAAATCTGAAAAAGAGATATTTTTAAACCCTCAAAGTCCCTCAGGCAAAGCAGTCCCTTTTGGGAGTAAAGGAAAAGAGAGAGAATGCAGGGTTAATTGTTGGTGATGGTTTGTTTTGTCTTAGTTTTAATTTTTACACCTTACTGCATGGTGCAGGCTGGACTAAAAGTAGCCCAGGTTGACCTCAAATGTGACCCTTCTGCTCAGGCTCCTAATTGCGGGGAATACAAGTGTGTCTTACCATACCAGTTGCAGTAACGTATAGTTTATTGTTGTGGTTGCATTTCTTTGGCTGGCTAAAGAGGTTTTCTTCCTGGTAGGGTGGGTTGAGACAGGGTTTCATGATCCTCCTGCCTGTGCCTGCCAAGTGCTGGGTTACAGGCATGGTTTACAAGGTCTTAGCTGAATGAGTAGAACTGTTCCTCTTTGTAAGTCCTGATAGCAGGAATGTGATAAAGCTCACCTCAGACAACTAGAGCATAACCAAATGCTTCAGCTGTGGTTCATAAAGAGCCCAAAGGGCTGACGGAGTAATGAAGAAGATCACTACAAGGCTTTCTCTGGAGAAAATGCTCACTGGAGTCTGTCAAAGTCACACCCTCAAGCCTGAACTTATCATAGACTATACCCTTCTATGACCTCTGGGTTTCCAAGTCTTAAGCTTTTATTGGTGGTACTTACCATTCTCTTTCTTATCTATCATCTGTCTGTCTATCTATCTGTCTATCTGCCTGTCTATCTATCATCTATCTATTTATCTATCATCTATCTATCATGTATCATCTATCTGTCATCTATCAATCTATCTATCATCTATCTATCTATCTATCTATCTATCTATCTATCTATCTATCAGTATCTCCCCCTCTCAATCTTTGGCTCTTTTTGAGGCAGTGTCATGACAGATAGTCCAGGTTGGCCTCAAATTCTTTATCCAGCTGCCTCAGACTCCCAAAGTCAGGATTACAAAGCATCTACCCCCTGGCCAACTTGAGTAATTCATCTTGAAATGTAGGTTTAAAAAAGGCTAAAAATAAGACTGTTTGGGCTGGAGAGATGACTCAGCAGCTAGAAGTACTGGCTGCTTTTATAGATGACCAGGGTTCAGTTTCCAGCAGTCACCTGGTGGCTCACAACCATCTTGAAAGTCCAGTTCCAGAGAATTAGACACCAAGCATGCACATGGTGCACACACATACATGAAAAACACTCACACACATAAATAAATCTTTAAAAGAATAATGCTGCCTGCCTGACATTGATTAAGGAGCCCCCAGGAGGCTTGATGTCATTTGCCTACAAGAGTTCATTCATGATTGCCTTCCTGGGTAGGTGTTTTCAAGATATCCTCTGGTTTTTCTGCTTTTTTTTAAAGATTTATTTATTACATATACAGTGTTCTGCCTACATGCCAGCAGAGGGCACCAGATTGAATTGTAGATGGTTGTGAGCCACCATGTGGTTGCTGAGAATTGAACTCAGGACCTCTGGAAGAGCAGTCAGTGCTCTTAACCTCTGAGCCATCTCTCTGGCCCGGTTTTTCTGATTTTTCTAGATCTCTGTGACCCATCAAGTCACCAAGAATGTGTGGGCTTCCTCAAGGAGAGTGGCTAACATAGCAGCCAGGGTAAATGTGCCTATTTGTTCATCAAAATCCACATTTTTTCCCTGAAAGCACAATACATTGAGAGTGTGTATTTTGTTTTTTTGGAATTATCTATCTTCAGAGAAAAAAAATTCTTACATTTTTCCCTATATGTATGCCTGTGTGTGTTATGGTGCATGAGTGGAAGTCAAGAGACAACTTTGGGGAGTCAGTTCTCAACTTCCACACGTGAGTCCTTTTGGACAGTTCCTCAGGCTAGCCAGGAGCCGCCTGTATCCTCTGAGCCATCTTACCAGCTGTGGTGGTTTGAAAGAAAATGCCCCCCAAAAGGAGTGGCACTATCAGGGGGTGTGCCCTGTTGGAGTAGGTGTGGCCTTGTTGGAAGAAGTGTGTCACTGTGGAGGTAGGCTTTGAGGTCTCCTATGCTCAAGCTACTGTCTCAGTTCACTTCCTGTTCCCTGCACGAGATGTAGAACTCTTAACTCAAGCACCATGTCTGCCTGCATACTGCCACGTCCCACCATGATGATCATGGACCGAATCTCTGAACTATAAGCCACCCCGAGCAAATAAGAGTTACTGTGGTCATGGTATCTCTTCACAGCAATAGAAACCCTGAGACACCAGCCCAAAATTTTATTTCCTATCTATTATCTTTTTATTTTTTTATCTTCAGAAATTAGAGGGGAAGGAGAAATAGTGGGTTACGATATGTGAGGCACCTCTCAGGATATGGAAATTTCACTGTGTGCCACCACTGCCTCTGAAACCAACACGTGTCACAAAAGAGTCATCCTATGTGGTCATATCTTCTATCTTGGGGATTCATATTGGCAAGGAAGTATTGTATGTACATGTCCAAGGCTCCCTAAGACACTTGAGCAACAGGCCATTGGGTGCCCTTGAAACTGGGAGTTCCCAGAGCTTTATTTAAAGATCTAAACTACAGTTACAGAGAAGAGCACGGAGCTCATGGAAACCATGCCCAAGAGGACTCTGCACTGACCAGGTCTCTCAGTCCAGAGTTCCAACTGGCTGCCTGAGCGGGGTTTCCCCAGCAGATGTCTGCTGGATATTTGTAAGTTCCTGATTCCATGTTACCTTCTATTGTTTTTCTCAGTTGGGCTGCTTCAGTGGTTTCTACTGGCTGTTTGTAGTAACCAGCTTGATAGTACTTAAACATATATCTGCTGATTCTGCTACTTATTCTTTTACTTTTACTATTTACTTAAACCCAGTCATTCAAAACCATAAGTATGGCTATCATGAATCAGTCTCTAGACCACACAAAACAGGTCTTTCCCCTGCATATTCTAGACTCAGAAGTATTGACCTTTGTCCTGGGGGTGATTGAGCAGACCTGCCATAATTCTTCTGGTATATTAATCCTGAAAATAAAGTGCTTTGATACTGTGTTTGCTTTTCATCTATGTCTACTCTTCCTTCTGCTCTCTCCAGGGCTTTAATTTGCCATTGAAAAAACTGGTGATAAACCTTCTACTGTAGAAACTTCCTAAAATATATACATAGATAAACGGAATTTAAATGGAGTCACCATATAATGGGGAATAAGCTGCCCCCAACTAGACATCTTATGCCAACAAGTAAAGCCTCCACTACCAGAGATGAGTTATTTCCTGTTAAGTCATTGGTCTCCCCAAACTCACAAGATATTGCCAAGGCTATGTTGGTTGCTCTCCACATCCTGACGTTAAGGCCCTATTGCTGAAGAAACACACAAGTATTGAACATGGAGACATGTAACTGGTACCCATCTAGAAGCTTTGTCACTACTTGCTAGCATCCTCGATGCTGGAAGGTACTCTAACACTACCAGAGGAGAATTATAATCATCAGTACGACCCAGCTGCAAACCCAATGACCCACACGGTGACCTGCCTGCGAGATACGCTGGTGCAGTAGAGGCGCAGATGCTATGGGAGTAGCCGGCCCTTTTTGGTTGGATTTAAGACCCAGTTCATGAAGTGGAAATGATACCTGATGCCAAAGCAGCCAAGAACCTGAGATTCGGTAGGTCAGAGGCCTGGAGGAAAACCTACGACTGTTATTCTGGTAAAGGGATATAGAGATAAAAATCATTGCTAATGACACATTGCTATGCACATAGGTCAGTGTCTAGAGAGATGACAGAGAATTATGATTCCCTCGTCAGAGAAGCTCATTCTTGCCATCAATGGAAATTAAGACAGAGGCCCACGACTGGACAATGTGTAGAAGGTAAGAGACTTTGGTATACTTGGTTCTAAATGGTTAATGTCTTCATTAACTCCTTCCCTGGGTGAGGAAGCAGAAATGCAAGAGCCAGAGGCTGTGGATGACTCCAGGGAAATGGTGTGTTCCAGGCGCAACAGGGCTGACAGACAAATGAAACACAGACACTGGGCAGCACACACAGGGCCTACACAAGGTTCGAGCCACAGCACTGAGGTGAAGAAGTGGGCATGATGTCCCACCCCTAACCAGGAAGCGATTTGCAATCGGTATCTTCTGGAAAGGGAGAATTCGTTTCCTCCAATGAGCGTCGCTGGATATATCAAACACACTCCAGGGCAGGACACCTGTATCCAGGAGCAGGTGGCCAACACAAAACAGAATCTGTGTTTTTGTTTTTGTTTTTTGTTGTTTTTTTTTGTGGGCTTTTTATGTTTTTGTCTTATTGGGTTTCGTTTTGTTTGTTTTTTAAGAGAGAAAGAATGTGAAGTTGAGTGGATGAGGAGATGGAAAATATCTGGGCTGAGTTAGGACTGTGTATGGTTCCACAATGGATGGCTTGAAAATGGAAAGGTTAGGGTGCTGGAGAGATGGCTCACTGGTTAAGACCACTAGCTGCTCTTCCAGAGGTCCTGAGTTCAATTCCCAGCAACCACATGGTGGTTCACAACCATCTGTAATGAGATCTGGTGCCCTCTTCTGGCCCACAGGGATGCATGCAAACAGAACACTGTATACATAATAAATAAATAAATAGCTCTTAAAAAAAAGAAAATGGAAAAGTTAAATGAATGGATAACAAACTTAGCTGGGATTGACATAATGTCAATTATAATTATTATCAGTTTGGTAATTCATATTTTTTTCTTTTGGTTTTTCGAGACAGGGTTTCTCTGTGGCTTTGGAGGCTGTCCTGGAACTCACTTGGTAGTCCAGGCTGGTCTCGAACTCACAGAGATCCGCCTGTCTCTGCCTCCCGAGTGCTGGGATTAAAGGCGTGCGCCACCAACGCCCGGCTGGTAATTCATATTTTATCTTTTAAAAAGCAGTTTGATATCTGTGCCAAATGTTAAAAATTGACTGATTAAATATAACCATTAGAAAGACCTATTAATGAAACTAATAAAAATACACAGAGACAGAATTTGGAACAGAACCTACCTCACCACATTATGATGAACTGGAAGAGGATCAGCCCATGGTTATTAGAAAAACCTTAGTTTATCCAGTTACCATACAAGAGCAACCACAATATGTTAGACACCCCCAAGGTTGTGCAGAAGTTAACTGGAATTCTACAGAAATGTTAGATCTGAAGAGATTTAAGTGTTTGTTTCATATGGTATGTACTCACCCTATGGGCTGCAAATATTAAAGTCATAGGCAGTTTGGAACAGCATTATCCCCCAAGACACCAGAAGCTGGCCCTTAGTTATAATGGAGAAAGTGATGGAAAGAGGAAGCTAGGGTCACAGAACAATAAAAAAAAAAAACAGGGACAGAGGTGTTGATATTCCCAAGACCAGTTTCTCAGGGAAGACTAGTAGGCTGATTTGCAAAGACAGTTTGGATTTGATGACCACACCTTGGCCCTATGTCATACAGCAGCTTCAATGCTTGGGACGAGGATAAAGAATCAGGTAAGAGGACTGATTCAGTTACTAAAATTATAAAAGTCTCAAAAGAAGCTTTCGTTGATTTTTTTTTTGCAAAGATTGACTTCATCTGTAAAAGAATAATATCAGATCCAGAAGTTAGACAAATATTAACTGAATCTTTGGCTTTTGAAAATGCTAATTCAGAATGCAAATGGGTATTAGGCCTTTACAGACAAGATCAGCACCAATAGATGAACAGGTCTAAAATATAACTGATATTGACTCTTATGCTTATGGTGCTACTTGATCAGAGAAGTTATTTCTAAAACTTTTTAAGAAAAATCAAAAGGTCAGATGTTTTAATTGTGGCAAACAAGATCATCTGAAAAGGGATTGTAGGCAAAGAGTTCCTAGAAACAATGTTTTCTAGAGATAATTCAAACAGAAGGCCCCAGCCTTCTGGACTACGCAGAAGGTGTGCAAAGGCCAGAATTGAACTAATGAATGCAGATTAACATGGGACAGGCAAGGTAACCCTTTTCCACAGGGAAATGCATTAGGGGGACTCTCACAGACCCCAGTGTCAAATTTGATTCACTCATTCCCTGTCAGCACTGGAGATACTCGTCCATGGAGCAAAGACTTAATACCTTTTGTTAAAACCGCACTGCTCTGGGTGACAGTATATAAAAGAACATTTCTAGGAGAGACCATAAAACAAGTATTTTGACAAACTTCTATAGATGATCAAAGACCAAAGCTAAAAATATGAATAAATGGCAGCTGGCTGACATTGTAATAGAAGGTTTGGTTAACACAGGCAAAGATGTAATTATCACTTAAATTGGCATCCAGATTGACCTCTTCAGGAGGTAAATATTCAGCTTTCTAGGATTGGAAATTTATCTCAGGTAAAACAAAGTACATGGTGGGTTGAGTTTATAGAACCAGAAGGACAGGTAGGTAAACTAAAGCCATATGTAGCTAACATAGCAATAAGTTTAATTTGTCACAGCAATAGAAAACACAGATTAACATTCCTCCAATCTCAGAAACAAACTGTAAACTAATGTATGCCTAGAAGAAAAATATTAAAAGGTATTATCAAGAATAGTCACCAACTGTTCAGGTTGTACATAAGCAGGAAATAGCAACTGCTGATCTTTCAAAATATAGGAGCAGCCAAATATTCAACATATTAAGGAACTGGCCAGTCCTTGGAAGTCTCCTATATTTGTTATTAAAAAGAAATCTGGAAAATGGAGAATGGTAACAGACCCAAGAGCTATTATTGAAATTCCCTTGCCTTCTCTATTACTTAAAGGATGGTCTATAATAGTGATTGCTTTAAAAGACTGCTTTTTTACTATACTTTTACAAGAATAAGACAGAGAAAATTTTGCCTTCATGGTGCCTACTTATAATAATTCTCAACCTGTTAAAAGGTATCAGTGGAAGATTCTCCCACAAGGGATGTTAAACAGCCGCACCCTGTGTCAATATTTTGTATAACAGCCATTGGAAACAATTTGCAAAATGTTTCCTCAATCTATAATTTACCATTATATGACTGACATCTTGCTAGCTAATTCAGTTGCAGATACCTTAGGAACCAATGTTTGAAAAATTAAAGAAAATTTTGCCTTGTTGGGGATTATAAATTGTTTCTGAATAAATACAAAGAGAATATTCTATTTATTACCAGGATATGAGATAGGTTTACAAAAATCCAATCATAGAAAGTAAAAATCAGGAGAGATCAATTACAAACTCTTAATGATTTTCAAAAATTGTTGGGGGCTATTAACTGACATCATCCCACAATTGGGTTGACAACTCAAGAACTAAGTAATTTACTTCAAACTTTACAAGGTGATAAGGATTTAAATAGTCCAAGAAAACTATCAGCTAAGGCTGAGAGAATTGCTCTGGCAGAAAACTGTAGGACGCACATACGGATCATTTGGACCCAGAGCTTGATTATGTTCTGGTCATACTCCCTTCTATGCATTATGATACAGGGATTCTTATACAGAGAGATTGTAGTATCTTTACAATGGATATTTTTACCACAAAGACAGAGTAAAAAATTAAATACCTATATAGAAAAGGTTTCTGAATTGATTCTGAAAGGAAAATTGAAACTACAACAATTAATAGGAATAGACCCAGAGAAATTGTAGTACCTTTTTCTAATGCTAAAATTGCCTTATTGTGGGCAGAAAATGAACACTGGCAAAGAGCTCGCAGTACATTTTGGGAGAGATTAACAACAAATATCCCAAAAGCAAGAGACTTCAGTTTACAAAGAGAACTAATCGTCTCTTTCCTCACTTTATACAGGGGAACACTCATTTCTGAAACCCCTACATTCTAATGGATGCAAACAAATCAGGAAAGGCAGGTTATAAGTCAGGAAATTTAAACAAAGTGGCTCAAAGCTCTTATGATTCTGTTCAAAAGTCAGAATTATATGCTATTCTGATGGCATCATTAGATTTTCCTGAACCTCTTAATATAGTTACTGATTCTCAATATACAGAATTGTTTTACATATTGAAACTGATGAACTTATTCCAGATGGTTCCTAACTAACTTTGCTATTTTTTCAATTACAAGAAATAATCACAAATAAAAATCAACCCTTGTATATAACATATATCGGATCCCATATGGACTCACCAGGCCTCTAGGGTAACGAGGAAATTGATCACCTATTGGTAGGAAATGTACTAGAAGCCTCAGAATTGCATAAGAAAAATCATGTTAACAGCAAAGGTTGAAGAAACATTTTTCTATCACTTGGCAATAAGCCAAGGAAATGTCCTACGTGTTCTTTATATAACCATGCTCCTCTACCTGCAGGAAGTAACCCAAAAGGAACTCAAAGAAATGAAATTTGGCAAATGATGTGTTTCACTTTGTGGAGTTTGGAATATTAAAGTATGTGCACCCTACCATAGATACTTATTCAGGGTTTGAGTGACTAATTGATAAAGATTAGATTCACACAGGAGAGACCTCTTGATTAGGAGAGGCAGTCATTCATCAAACATCTTGGTCATTCAATCCAAACTAACTTATAAGGCTAACAAAAAAGCCTTTGATCCACTGTAACCTACCAAAAAAGGGGAATTCCCCAAATCAGGGTTGGAGAAAATCTTTTTTTGTTGTCTTTCTTTCCAGGAGAATAAAAGCATCTGACTGAGGAATCTGAAGACCAGTGGACAAATGAGACATTGGAAGAAGAAAGATGAACTATCAAAAGAAAATGTCCCAAGAAAAGGAGTAAATTGGCCTAATGGTATAACACATTTCCAACAGAATAAAATTTCATAATCTTCCCAAATATTTATTTCTGATGCGCTCTATAGACATACAAGGCAAATGGTCTTTTTGTAGTCCCAATTCAATTAAAAATTAAAGCTGAGCTGGGCGGTGATGGCACATGCCTTTAATCCTAGCACTCGGGAGGCTTAGGAAGGTAGATCTCTGTGTGTTTGAGGGCCTGGTCTACAGATTGAGTTCCATGACAGATGCCAAAACTACAGAGAAACCCTGTCACAAAACAAACAAAAAACTTTAGAAGGACTGGAGAGATGGCTCAGAGGTGAAGAGCACTGGTTGTTTTTTCAGAAGTCCCGAGTCCAATTCCCAGCAATGATATGGTGGCTCACAACCATCTATAATAAGATCTGGTACCCTCTGCTGGCCTGCAGGTATACATGTAGGCAGAACACTGTGTACATGATAAATAAATCTTAAAAAAGCAAAAGTAAATAAATACAAATTAAAATTAAAGCTAGCTTTGGAGCCCTTGAATAGGCGCAGTGGGTGGCATGTTTTAACTCTCGGGTCAGAGTTTTGCCCGGTTGATGGACGGGGACAGGATGCCTTCCTTGCCATTAACTTCAGAGAAGTCATTTGAAGAAAACGATGGAAGAAAAGCCTGGTAACCACTAGAACCACCAGCTACTGTTTGTAGTTTACAATATATAATGGTTTATCGCTGCCATTGCCCATTCCTACAGATAATTAATGTGGCCAGATAAAGACATTTTGTACACGTTCCTGACATTAGGCACAAGAGTCATTTGCCAGTGTCCTGGTTTCAACACGGAAGTAATTCTACCACTTAGTTGTGGTCAGGACTTCAGTACCTGTGCTGGCTCATAGGGAGTCTTTCTGTGGGGAGGAAGATTAATCGTGTGCAAAGTAGGGGAGTTTCAATTACGTGACAACATTAGTGCGATAAAATTTTGTACGCAGCTTTAAAAGTAAGCAAACGAAAATAATAAAGATAAAAAAAGAAAGAACAAGAAGACAAAATAGTCAGGGTGACAAGCTACTTCTTTGGTTGGGAGATGTGTGGACTTAAATCCTGAAAAAAAAACCCTTTTTTTTAAAAAAAAAAAAGCATGGTTTAGAACTGGTGATCTTCCTGCCCTGTCTTCCTGAATGCTGGGCTTACAGGTGTGCATCACTGTACTGGGTGCTATTCTGAAGGATCTTAAAGAAGGAGGACATGATGGGAAAAAGTCAGTTGCCGGGGCAAGTAGGACGGCATTGAGGGAAAACGAACAGAACTGTGGAGCAAAGGGGGAGTAAAAGAAAATAAAAGGAGTTGTGAAGTGAGCCAGAAAGCAGCCAGATCCTAGAAGCTAAGAGAAATTGTTAAAAAGGGAAGTTCTCCATCCAACTTACTGTAGTTCTTGGAGGGTCTCTCGTTGTCTCAGCTGGTGTAAGAGCATGGACTTGGTTTGGATGCCAGTGTATCTGGACATAAGGTGTAAGACCTTAGTCCGCACAGTCTTCTCGCTGTCCAGCAACCCCGTCGTCAGTGGAAGAGTAAAAATGTTGCTTATGAAGCCCAGCTTCTCCAGCATCTCCCAGGCTAGTTCACGGATACTAGAGTTGTAATGGGTTGTATCTTTCAGCAGGCGACAGGCTGTCTCAATATGCATCTTTGGAGGGATTTGGTGATTGGCGAAAATCATTGCCAGTGCACTAAAATATTTCTTGTATTTTTCTGTAGAACAGAAAACTGTGAGGTTGAGAATGGTCTCTACCAAATTTTCTACCATCTCATCACTAAACTTTCTTCCCATCCAGCCTTTAGCTGGCATGCTTTCAAGGATGCTATAGGACTCTCTTTTCTTCTCCTGGTACACATCCTTCGGTTTCTTACTCAGCATTTCCTCATCTGCTAGACTCACAGATGACAGTGACCGGGATCGCAACGATCCACGTGCACCCATGTCCAGATATTTGGAGGATACTCTTAGATCATAACGCAGGAAAACTGGGGTACCATTAGGCCAAAGGCGGGCACGGATCACTGAGTTAGGGATGTAGCAATCTGGAGCAAAGGGCCATTCCTGTCCTTGGCCAAAGAAGGTTTGGAACATGCGATAGATGTTCAGCCCGTCCCAGCTAGGCAGGTGTAATTGAGCAGGGACAACATAAGGATATTTCTGTTTGGAGTCAGAAGTCTCAGCCATTTTATCTTCTGCAAAGAACAACCTGGGTCTCTCATGAGGCAGGGTGGACATGTGTCTGGTCCCCTCGACAACATGGGGCACAGTGCCATCAAAAGCAATGGCCCGTTTGTTGACAAGGGTATCCAGCCCCTGGAGTTCCTGGGCCTTCTGTTCCAGGTACATAAATTTGGGTACAAAGATCAATTCAAACAGAAAGAAGAAGCTGGGAAGGAATGGCTTCGGGGTTTCTTGTATCTCATCTTCGAGGTTCAGGGCTCTTAGATGCACCAGCTGATTGAAAGGGAGCAAATCGAGGCAGGATACTATGTAAATGCTCTGATTGAAAGTCAAAAGCAGGTCACCTCGACTATTGGCGAAGCAGGACGAACCAAAGCGCAGTTCGGAGTCAAACTGAGCTACAAGTTTCCCACGGAAATCCCAGACCCGGACTGACCCATCAGTGGCCCCTGTGACAAAGAGTTTCAGGGAGAGGCAGACATCAAATGAAGTGACAGCACACTCGTGCAGGCAGCTTGTCTCCCTCGGCATAAAATTCTGTTTTGGTTCTGATGTGAGGATGTCTTGATAGCGCCAGAGAAACCAGCAGGAGTGCTCGGTAATGGCACCCACAGAGCCAGGCAAGAGAACCACGTGCTTTAGGCGACAAATACAAAGAAACTTACAGACAGGCTGCAGCACCAGGTCCTTGGCTGACTGCACCACCTTTGTGAGGTGTACGTAGTTGTCCTTGCCATAGGAACACAGTAAGGGATTTTCTTCAAAACCCTCCGGCGTAGACAATGCCAGCACCGTCCCAGAGTGGATAGTGTTCTCTGTCCGAAACGAGCAGTACTGGGACAAGATCCTCACAATGCCACTCTCGTGCCCACAGAATATCAGTCCATTTTTACTCTTGCCCAAGTAGGACCTCCCGTAAGCCAGGCACTTTACTTTGTCCCAATAGTTTTCTGAAGTGCACACGATATACTTGGCTGTACACGGGGAGCGCGTGGCGTCAAACACCAGCACCTCGGGACTGCCTATTGCAACAAAGAGCTCCTCTCTCTCGGAGTGGTAGGCCCACGCCACCGCCTTGTCCATGACAAGCAGAGGCCACGTAACAACCAGGAGGTCCCCCGTTACCGGAGACAAGAAACGCAGTAAGCCGTCCTCCGTGGCACACAGGATGCGGATCCAGTTGCGGCCACAGAGGACCCGCTGGATCTTCTGCGGGGCAGAGCCACAGACGTTGAAGAGCCTGTAAAAGTGGGGCAGGCGGTGCAGCGAGAACGTGGAGGCGCCCTGGCAGAAGAAAGTGCTGTCGTCCGTGAACCGCAGCTGCTGCACATCCCGGGTGCCAAGGTTCAGCTGCCGCAGCAGGCTCCCGTTAGCCAGGTTCCACTCCTTCAGCCAACCCTCTCTCCCCGCCGTGAACAAGGTGTAGGTCTCGGGCCGACTGCTGACACACATCACGGACGAGGGATGGGCCTTGAAGCTGTGGAGGAAGCCGGCGTCATCTAAGCCCCACACGTGGATCTCCCCGTTCTTGTTCCCAGCGTAGAAGGCGTTCTGAGCGACGCAGCTGCAGGAGCAGGTGAGCTGGGAGCCGCTGGACAGGGGAGTGAATGTATTCACTTCTTTGAGCTGGCCTTCGCCCTCGTGGGTGAAGACCCTCACCATGCTCTCACACAGAGCCATCAGGAGGCCCAGGGACGTGTTCAGGGACAAGTCCTGCACAAGCTCACAGCTGCTTAGAGCCACTCTCTGAGCCATCTGGAGGCTCTTGCCGTTTGCTGAGATAAACCAGGTAACCACCGCTCCCAAAGTCCCAGAAAACAGCACCCCGGTGTCCGAGTCGTAGCAGAGACAGCTGATGGAGAAACGACAAGGCACTGAGCCCAGAAGGACGAACGCCTGATGGTGGTCTCCTAAAAGCCGCAGACGCATGTCTTCGCAGTAAGCTATTAACAGCCCATGGGAGCTCACGTGGACCATTGACGTAATGAGCGGCACTTCGGCCGTCATGGGAAATTTCATCTTCTTGACGGTTCTTTTCCTTTCTGCATTTTTTTCCTGTATCCACAGTACTGCCTAGAAGAAAATGAGAAACAGAAGCCTGGTCAACGGGCATCTCCTGGAGTGAGCTGTAAGGAAAAATGCCTATCTCCTCTTGTAGACAAAGAAAGGATTTGGTTTGGGGGGTTTCTAGTACTAGGTACTGGGTTTATGACAGAAGCTGGGTCCAAGGCCCTTTTGTATTCTTTGGGCTTGAGAATTATCAGCATAAAAGGGTCGCTCATCGAGGTCAGACTGGCACACGGAGCCAGGTAGTAAAATGAACTAATTTTCCAGGTGGGGTGACACAGGCCTGGAATCCCAGCACCCAGGATGCTGAGGTGGACAACTTGGACTACACAGCGAGTTTGAAGCCAGCCTGAAATACACAGGAAGACCCAGTCTCAGTGAATGGACAGGTGAGTGTATAAACATGTATTTATTCAGAGGCATCCCTCTCACTCCAAAACAAGGACGTTTTAGGTGTGGAACACATCAATTGCTTTCTGAAGGGAGACGTGAAACTGAAGCAAAGTAGCTGTACTTGGATCTGTTTGTCATACTGTTCCAACCAGTTTAAGGCGACGAAATAGTTGGCATCCAGAGAGTAGAAGCACATAAAAGGCTTTTTCTGTAAATGATAAGTCTCCTGGTATAGAATCTGGGGCCGGTCACTCAAGACAGTCACGTGACGATACCTGATGTCGTCCTTAATCTGAAAGAGAAAAGCGACTAAGAAGCAGGAACAGACACCCATTCAAAACACCACGGAGGGATTAGTGAGCACTGGTTTGGTTTGGTTGTGCCTAACTGATAGTGCTCGTCCTACCGCTAGAAGGCGTTATTTGGGAACCACCTCTCCCTTAGCCTCAGGCTACAACAGACTCCTGGGCTTTTTTTTTTTTTTAAGGAAAAAAATTATGGAAGCTGGAGAGATGGCTCAGAGGTTAACAGTACTGGCTGCTCTTCCAGAGGACCCAGGTTCGATACCCAGCACCCACATGGCAGCTCACAACTGTCTGGGACCCCAGTTCCAAAGGATCAGACATACATGAAGGCAAAAACATCAATGTATATAAAATAAGAAATAAATTATTAAAAGAAAAAATTATGGAATGTTCCACCTATTTTTGGGTCATCCTTGAGCTGGGGCCATGCTAATCTTCTCTGTGTCATTCCAATTATAGTATATGTCTTTTTTTTTTTTTTTTTTTTTTTTTGGTTTTTCGAGACAAGGTTTTTCTGTAGCTTTAGAAGCTGTCCTGGAACTAGCTCTTGTAGACCAGGCTGGCCTCGAACTCACAGAGATCCGCCTGCCTCTGCCTCCCGAGTGCTGGGCTTAAAGGCGTGCGCCACCACCGCCCAGCTTATGTCTTGCCAAAGTACTTTCTGGGTTTTCTCAACTAAGCTTCCAAAAGAAAATTAAGCCCAATGTCCCCTCATGGAATAAAAGGGTTTCTCTAGTTACATAGCCTGGGGAACTGAGGGGCAGCTGCTCAAACCATCTCCTGTTTGCATGGTTCAGATGAGAAAGCCAGTTGATTCTTTTCATGGCTCTGATTTTGTTTTTTGATTTTTCAATACTAAGGACTGGATCTAGAGCCCCTGCATTCTAGTCAGGGGCTCTACCACTGAGCCATGCCCCAGCCCCTCACTGGGGGAATCTAGGCAGGGGCTCTACCACTGAGCCACGCCCCCAGCCCCTCACTGGGGAATTCTAGTCAGGGGCTCTACCACTGAGCCACGCCCCCAGCCCCTCACTGGGGAATTCTAGTCAGGGGCTCTACCACTGAGCCACGCCCCCAGCCCCTCACTGGGGAATTCTAGTCAGGGGCTCTACCACTGAGCCACGCCCCCAGCCCCTCACTGGGGAATTCTAGTCAGGGGCTCTACCACTGAGCCACGGCCCCAGCCCCTCACTGGGGAATTCTAGTCAGGGGCTCTACCACTGAGCCATGCCCCAGCCCCTCACTGGGGAATTCTAGTCAGGGGCTCTACCACTGAGCCACATCCCCAGCCCCTCAGTAGTGAATCCTAGACAAGTGCTCTATTAGTCAGCCATACCCTTTATTTTTAAAATATTTGCTTTTATTTCATATGTGTGAATGTTTTGCATGTGCAAGCCTGCATGTATGTGCAACACCTGCGTGCAGTACCCAAGGAGGCCAGAAGAATACAGAATCCTCTGGAACTGAAGTTACACAGGACTGTGAGCCACCTGATCCGGGTACTGGGATCTAAACTTAGGTCCTCTCACAGAGCAGCCAATGCTCTTAATAGCTGAGCCATAGCCCCGTCTGGCTGTTTTGAAGCAGTGCCTCACTTTGGAGCCCAGGCTAGACTTGTAGCCATCCTGCACCAGCTTCCCAAGCAATGGGAAAACAGGTGTACCCTACTATGCCCCGTTTAATGAGTTCATCTTTTTTTTTAAAGATCTATTTTCTTTATTAATTCTTTAAAATTATGTGTATTAATGGGCAGTGGTGTCACATGCCTTTAATCCCAGCACTCTGTGAGTTCGAGGCCAGCCTGGTCTATATAGCTAGTTCCAGGACAGTCAGGGCTACACAGAAAAACTCTGTCTTGAAAAACTAACAAAAATTACCTGTATGTGTGTGTGTGTGCCCCATATGTGTGGGGATCATCATTATGAAGCAGTCATTCATTCACCAAACTATGTCCAGACTGAACTCCAGTGGATTATTCTGCTTCTGTGTGTGAGGAGGTGCACATGTGTGCCAAAAGCATTGGACCTCTTCCAGCTGGAGTTAGAGACAGTTGTGAGCCACTAGGTGTGGGTTCTGGGAACTCAGTTCCCAGTCTTCTGGGAGAACAGTACGAGCTCTTAACTGCTGGGCCATTATCCAGCTGTTTAATGCTATTGTTCTCATGTACAAGAGAAAACTGTTTGTCTATATGAGAGGAGCTCTCCGGGGATGCTTTTGTCTTACTCAGGCCCCATCCTCCCATGGCAGGAACAGATCTTTCCAACAGGCCCACCATATGCATAGCTTTCCCAGAAATCACCTCTCTGTCATTCAAGATGTTATCGATGATAGATCTCAAATTCTTCCACTCAGGAATAAGTCTAGGTGAGGGCAAGGTCTTAGGAACCTTCCACTTCCTCTTAGTCATCTTGGAGTATAGAACCTGGGAAAGATGAGAACACCTGATGTCAGGCTGGAAATTAAGGGAACCGAGAAAGAGCAGACAAGTTACAGAAGGAAGAGCAAGTATTTGTCAGTGGGAAAGCTCCTCTGTCTAGATGCATTCATTTTATGCGCATGAGCATTTTGTCTGCGTGTGTGTCTGTGTACCACATGCATGCCTGGTACCTGGGAGAGGTTGCAGAGAGGGGATCAGACTCCCTGGAACTGGAGTTATAGACGGCTGTGATCTGCCCTGTGCGTGCTGGGAATCCAACCTGGTTCTCTTCAACAGTTACAAGTGAGGCTGGGAGCTATAGCACACACCTTTAATTCCATTTGCTCCCATTACTCAGGAGACAGAGACAGGCAGATTTCTGTGAGTTCGAGGCCAGCCTAGTCTACAAAGTGACTTCCAAGACAGCTAGAGCTACATAGTGAGTTCCTGTCTTGGAAAAACAACAAAAATCAAATCAAGGATTTGAATTCCCTTTGCTCCCCTTCCCAGACATGGTCTCACTATCTAGCCCTGACTGGTCTAGAACTCACTATACAGGTCAGTCTGACCTTAAATTCACGGAGATCTACCTGCCTCTGCCTCCTGAGTCTTGTGATTAGATGCATGGAAAAAAATGTTTCTTTTGCCAACTAAAGCAATTAGAATACTAAAATCAAAAGGCTTTACAATTAAAAATTTTTTTTGATTTTTCAAGACAGGGTTTCTCTGTATTATTTATTATTTTGGAGGCTGTCCTGGAACTCGATCTATAGACCAGGCTGGCCTCGTATTCACAGAGATCTGCCTGCCTCTGCCTCCTGAGTGCTGGGATTAAAGGCATGCACCACCAACACCCGGCAAAACCCTGATTTTAACCCACACACCTATGAACACTTGAACAAAAGAACTAAGAACAAAGAAGCTAAAACTATACAATGGAAAAAAGAAAGCATCTTCAACAAATGGTGCTGGCACAATTGGGTACTGGTATGCAGAAGACTGCAGATAGATCCATGTTTATCACCTTGTACAAAACTTAAGTCCAAATGGATCAAAGATCTCTACATAAATCCAGCCACACTGAAACTTTTAGAAGAGAAAGTAGGAGATACTCTTCAACGAGTTGGTACAAGAGACCACTTCCTGAACACAACACCAGTGGCACAAACACTGAGATCGACAATTACCAAATGGGACCTCCTGAAACTGAGAAGCTTCTGTAAGGCAAAGGACACAGTCAACAAGACAAAAAGGCAGCCCACAGAATGGGAAAAGATATTCACAAACCCCACATCTGACAGAGGGCTGATCTCCAAAATTTACAACAAACTCAAGAAGCAAGTCTCCAAAACACCAAAGGATCCAATTAAAAGGTGGGGTACAGATCTAAATAGAGAATTCTCAATAGAGGAGGCTAAATGGCCAAGAAACACTTAAGAAAGTGCTCAACATCCTTAGCCATCAGGGAAATGCAAATCAAAACAACACTGAGATACCATTACTCCTGTCAGAATGGCTAAAATCAAAAACAATTTATGCTGGAGAAGATGTGGAGAGAGGGGAACACTCCTCCACTGCTGGTGGGAGTGCCAACTCGTACAGCCACTTTGGAAAGCAGTATGGAGATTCCTCAGGAAAATGGGAATCAATCTACCATAAGACCCAGCAATTCCACTCTTAGGCATATATCCAAAGGAGGCAAATTCATACAACAAGGGCATCTGCTACACTATGTTTATAGCAGCATTATTTGTAATAGCCAGAACCTGGAAGCACCTAGATACCCCTCAACTAAAGAGTGGATAGAGAAAATGTGGTACATTTACACAATGGAGTATTACTCAGCAGAAAAAAAAAACAATGGAATCTTGAAATTCGAAGGTAAATGGATAGCACTGGAAGAAACCATCCTGAGTGAGGTAACCCAGTCACAAAAAGACAAACATGCTATGTACTCACTCATATATGGATTTTAGACATGGATCAGGAGAGTGCCAGTCTGCACTTCCACTGATAAGAGAGTCTGGGAAACAGGAAAGAACCTAAAAGATATGCTTAGTACCCAAGAGAAGAGGAATGAGGCAAGATCCTCTGAACAGATGGGGGACACATCGAGGGGTGGGGGGGGAGTGGGAGCTGGGAAGAAGAGAGGGGGAGAAGAGGAAGAGAGAGTAGGTCATGGGGGAACAGGAAGGTTGAGGGGGGGTAGAATAGGGGGAAGAGGGAATCATAGGTTAGAAGACAGATCAGGCACCAGTGTGACCTCTAGTGATCTAAAGGGATGACACCAATTGGCAAGCTAAGCAATAGTGGAGAAACCACCTCGAATGCCCATTCCTGATAATGAACTTGATGTCTATAACCATCCGGGAGCCTTCATCCAGTGACTGATGGAAGCAGAGGCAAACACCCACAGTTAAACACTGAACTCAACCCAAGGAACCCAGCGACAGAGAGAGGAGTGATAAGAAAATTGGCAAAGAATGCGGGGCCAAAACCAGCAGAGACAGCTGATCTGAACAGGGGAGAGCTCTTGGACCCCAGACCGACAGCGGGGAGGCCAGCATGGGACTGATCCGGACCCCCTGAATGTGAGAGTCAGTGAGGAGGCCTGGGCAACCTATGGGGCCCTGAGCAGTGGATCAGTGTTTATCCCTATAATACAAACAGACATCGTGTGTCCATAGCACAGAGAGGGATGCTCTCTCAGCCTGGACTCTTAGGGGAGTGCCTGGACCCTACCCTGAGTGAAATGACAGACTCTACATATCCCCTATGTGGAAGGAAGTGGCGATAGGGTGGGAGGCTGGGGGAGCATGGGGGGTGCGGGAGGAGGGGAGGGAGAGGGAACTGGGATTGACATGTAAAACAAGCTATTTAAAATTAAAATAAAAAAAAGAAAAGTCAAAAAAATTTAAAGTGCATTATTCTAGTCTGGTAAAGGGCCATACTGATATCAAAAGAGAATGAGGGATGAAAGAGAATCAGTGTCCCACAAATTTACATTTACATCCTCCAGTTCTGCGGCCTCACTGTTTCTTTTTCCCTTGGCTTCCTCCGGCTCAGTAGTCCTGTCTCATGGATAGTACACAGCTCCATGATCTCAGCAGGACCAATGCCATTCATCGCCCTTCCTCCAGCTGGGAACGCCTGTTTCTAATAGCGTAGAATACCAGCGGCTTCCGGCTCAATTCCCATCCCCACCATACCTTCACCATCCACAGGGCTACACGTCCCTGAGTCAAGAGACAAATCCCAGGCACAGGTTTCCGTAAAAGGTGTGTCACTGGCTCCAACATCAGGATGCTTTGGACTCTCCAAGCCCCTCCCCCGACCCACACAACTGTGGGCTTCGCGGACAGCACCAACTTTCCCTAAGTATCCGAAACTTGCCCAGTGAATGCGCTGGTGCTGGGAGGCACAGAGAGAGGTAAAACGATGAGCTTAAGAAGTCAGCACCACACTGTGGCAGAATGGAGGGGAATTTCATGACCCATTTCTGTGGCCTGGTCTTGGGAGTCTTACAGCCTGATGAGAGACATGGTAGAGGGGGGAGCAAGAGCCGGGCTTGATTAAACATTGTGTTTACATGGCTCGATGCTGTTCTGAAGGCTTACCTGTGCATCTTCGCCTAACTGCCTTATAAGGTAGGGCTGATAAAATAACTCCCATTTTCAGATACCAGGACACAGCTTTTACTAAAAAGAAATCGCGGCTTTAGGCCTGGGAGTATAGCTTAGTTGGAAGAGTGCTTGCCTGGCCTGGCACAGCGATGCCTCGAGTTTGATCCTAGCATCACATAAAACCGGGCATGGTGGTGTAAATCAGTAATCTCAGCACTCCGGAGGTGAGGAAGTTCGTCATCCTCTGCTCTTTTGGAAGTTCTAGGCCAACCCGGGATGTGTAAGACTCCGTCTCATAAACAAAACAAAACCAAGACTCAAACAAAAATAACCATAACTAACTAAAAAACAAACAAACAAACAAACAAAAATACCACCACCCACAACTGCAAGGTTTTTTTTTCCCCTTCATGTAATTAAAATTTAATTGGTTAACCTACATTTTTACTTGCTAGCCCTATTTCAACCTTACATCCTTCCTTCCCCAGCAAAGGAAAACCGAGCCACACACCTGGAACCATGCAGAGCCAGAGAGACAGATACCAGGCGTGGCAGAGTCACTGGCCGTGCACGGATGGGAATCGAAGGCCTTTATGACAGAGGCGGGGCATCAGCCGCCCACGTGTAAGGGAGGGGTTCTCTGTGATTATCAGGGGTTTCTATGCCACCCTTTGTAGCGTTAGCGCTGGAATCAAGCGCAGAGGATCTACAGGCAGACCTTTTATAGAGATCAGGACGGTACCCACGTTTCTCCCCACTTCAGAAGCCCAATGGATAGGTGTGAGGCCTCTGTAAGGTAAATGAGAGGCAGCCTGCCTGTTTTGCCTCTTGACGCTCTGGCCTGGGGATACGGGGCTGGAACAAACTAGCGTTCTCGGATTGGGTTGGAGTGGTGATGGGTGGGAGGCTAGCCCAGATCAATCCATCCTTCGTCTCATGTTCGGCAAAAACCTCATTCTCGCCAGCTTGGGCAGATACACCACAAGATAGGGTTGTACCCACGTGACGGATAGGCGGAGGATTTGCGAGTCCCATCTATCACGCATGCGTGTAGCACAAGGGTGGGTTAGGACAGAAAGGGTGCTCAGGGGAGAGACTCGGATGTGCAATCCCAGGCTGGTGGGAGGCAGAACGATCACCGCAGCTGACTCTGAGCTCATGGAGCCTCCTCTCTCCCTCCATGCTGCCCCAAGGCTGCCCTTCAGTCTCTGGCCTGGGATCCCTGAAACCATGAAACTAGGTAGGTATGCTGACCTCGAGGATGACTTCATGCATTCCCATGTTTGTCGGTCCCTTTAGTGATGGTGGCTGCAAGACTAGATTGCACTATGTTGAGGAATCTCTTTCAGGGACCATTCCTCCCAAGTTCTGGGGTTGCCTCCATTACCGGTTTAACCTTAGGCAGTATTCCTTGGTATTAAAGTTCCCGAAATCCTGAGCAAGGTGGCATACGCTTTTAATGCCAGCACTCAGGAGGCAGAGGCAGGTGGATCCTTGTTTTTTGAGGCCAGCCTGGTCTACATGATAGTTCTAGGCCAGCCAGCACTACATAGTGAGACTCTGTCTTAAAAATAAAATTCCTATTTTACCTTGAGTTGAGGACTATATGGACCTCTCTGGTGCTAGACTGAGCAGTTCTCCCTATGGCAGCTACAAACTGTTTTTAAATTCCTCTTCCATATTGTCAACTATAATTTCTAGGAGAACTAGAGATAGTTATATTCTGCCTCAAATTTCTCTTGTCTGGATCTCAGTTTATCTCTGCCTCAAAGAGCCTATTACTGTACAAGAATACTAATTACCAGAATACGTTTTTAAAACTAAGGAAAAATGAATACCTGTAATCACATTGCTTAATAATAATAATCTTATTATTGTTATCATTGTTGTTTTTGAGACAGGGTCTCCCTATGTGGCCCTGGCTATCCTGGAACTCACTCTGTAGACCAGGCTGGCCTTGAACTCATAGAGATCTGCCTGCCTCTGCCTCCTGACCTCTGGGATTAGAGGCGTTCAGCACCAGACATGTCTGGCCTCACCATGCTAAATTTAATGATTGAGTTGTTAGTTTGCTCATCCTGCTGGGAGTCATTATTGACACAAAGGACCGCTCCCCTTGTTCCTTTATATACTTTCTTGACTTAGTCTTCATGACATCATCTTAGTTTTTGTTTGTTGTTTTGTTGGGTTTTTTTTCCCCTGACAGTGTCTCTATGTAGTCCTGGAACTGGTTATGTATACCAAGAAGGAGTCAAACTCACAGAGCTCTGCCTCTGCCTCCCAGGTGCTGAGACTGAAGATGTGTGCCGCCATGTCTGGCTTCTTGGTTTGGTTTGGTTTTTTGAGACCCATGATTTGTTCCTTGTCGATTGTGTCCTGCTTCCTTCAGTCCTGTCTGATGATTTGTTCCTTCTCGATTGTGTCCTGCTTCCTTCAGTCCTGTCTGAACTGCCAGTCTTCAATCCTTGTCTTGTCCATTCGCATGCCTTGGTCCTCTCATCCAGTCTTCTAAATCCTTTCTACCCATTATTGTCACATTTACTTTCAGTCCAGATATGCCTGCTGGATTGCAGGCCTGCGGGTTGCATTCTTTCCTAGGCTGCTTAGGCTTTTGTCAACTTGACACAAGCTGGAGCCATCTGGGAAGAGGGAACCTCAACTGAGAAAATGCTTCCATCAAATTAGCCTGTAGGCGAGTCTGTGGGGGAACTTTCGGTATTGATGGTTGATGTTGACAAAAGGGTTTCCTTGTAGAGTTTGCAGGCCATCGTGAAGGGAAGGCAGGCCAGGAACCTGAAGGCAGGGACTGAAGCCGAGGTCAGAGAATAGTGCTGCTTCCTGGCTTGCTCAACCTGCTTCCATAAAAATCCCAAGACCAACTCCCAGAGGTGGCACCTCCCACAATCAATCATTAATCAAGAAAAGGCTCAACAGATTTGCCCACAGGCCAGTCCAATAGAGGCATTTTCTCAGTTGAGTTTCTTCTTCTTCTTCTTCTTCTTCTTCTTCTTCTTCTTCTTCTTCTTCTTCTTCTTCTTCTTCTTCTTCTTCTTCTTCTCCTTCTCCTTCTCCTTCTCCTTCTCCTTCTCCTTCTCCTTCTCCTTCTCCTTCTCCTTCTTCTTCTTCTTCTTCTCCTTCTTCTCCTTCTTCTTCTTCAGATGACAAAGGACTTAATGTCACTCCTCCTTGAAACACATGCCCAGATAGAGGGAAATTCATTTGTGTACTAGATTGATGAGGAGGAGATCAAGATGTGTTTATAGACTTCATGGAGGTCAAAGGTGTTAGAAGCAGAGGACTAAAATGCAGAGTTGGAGAAGTACGGACAGATAACTCCTGAGTGCACAGAGTCTCTCACCGTTCCTGCTGCTGGAGCCATGGGATAGATGGGATCCTCCCATTCATCAGAACTGGGTTAACCTAGTACGACTTAGGGTATTTTCATTTTAATGATGGGGTTTAAATAATATGTATTAGAACTGGAGAGATGGCTCAGTGGTTAAGAGCATTGGTTGCTCTTCCAGAGGTCCTGAGTTCAATCCCAGCAACCACATGATGGCTCACAACCATCTGTAAGGAGATTGGTGCCCTCTTCTGGCCTGCAGGCATACATGCAGACAGAACACTGTATACAAAATAAATATTTAAAAAAGTATATATATATTCGGGGAGCTTGGCATGTAAAAATGCTTGTTGTCAAGCCTAATGACCCAGCTACATAGTGAGATCCTGTCTCAGAAACAACAACAAAACAAAACTCTAAGACATCTGTTATTTTCATCTCGTCATTAGCAAGCAGAACTCCATGCCCCCAAATACTAAGTGGAAAAATGTTCAGTCTTCTAATTATTCTTTGTTAGTTTTGTTTTTGAGGTTACGTTTCTCTATGTAGCCCTGACTGTCCTGGCAACTCCCTATGTAGACCAAGCTGGGTTGAGACTCCCAAGTGCTAGGATTAAAAGTGGTCACCCCCATGCCTGGCCCTCACTCTTCTAATTTTAAATTCCACCTTTCCCCACAACTATCAATAGTTGTCATAGTAACACCGTATCTTTTCATTTCTGTACCGCTAATTTGCTTTCCTCTGTTATTTACCATAAACCATGGGAGGCGAGGAAGGGAGAGGACAGTGGAAGTCTCTTTGGCTTCCTCACCTCTGCACTGGCTTTGGGAAAGATTTCCCGCTCTCAGAGGTGACACTGAAACAACATTTGGGTTAAAGGGACACATCAAAGTTGGTTACAAATGAGAATTTTCTCTTTATTCCATATACAGAAACTGGCTTCTAGAGCTGGGTAGAGAAAAACAACAACAACTTTGACCTTGTTCTACTTCTGTGTGGGCCCTGGAGATAAAGGTCTAGTTTCTGCATTTCTCCATTTGAGAATTAAAACTCTTGACATTTAGCTAGTCCCAAGTCAGGGGGCGTGAACGATGGCATGGGAAGTCAGTCTCAAGTCAGGGAGCGTGAACAATAACATGAGTAGTCAGTCCCTAGTCAGGGGGCGTGAACGATGGCATGGGAAGTCAGTCCCTAGTCAGGGAGCATGAACAATAACATGAGTAGTCAGTCCCTAGTCAGGTCAATCCCAAGTTAGGGATCATGAACGATAACATGAGTAGTCAATCCCAAGTCAGGGAGCGTGAACGATGGCATGGGTAGTCAGTCTCAAGTCAGGGGGCGTGAACGATGGCATGGGGTGCTTTCTTGATGAGGTGAATATCAGCTTGGGGCAGACTCTTCCAGGCAAGTTCAAGGATCCCATACTTGGCAATGCCTCTAGGTCGAATGGTGTGCACATTATTCTGCTCGGGAAGTGAAATCACTTCCTGAAACTCAAGAGGCATTTGTGGGGAATGGGAGCTACCACAAACCAAGCAGTATAACAGCCGCTGCCCGGGCACTAGCTCCACGGCCTTCAGAGTTTCTTTGGAGACGAACTCTTGGGACTGAGGCTCTTTTGCCAGTAGCAGGTCCTGCAGCAGCCTCTGGATTCGGGGGGACTGAAGCTGGTAAAGGTCCATGAGCTGGTCAAACTTTTCCATCCAAGTAGCCATGTCTTTGGCATACCGCTGCTGTAGAACCCGCAAAATATGGTAGAGCGCCACAAACGTCTCCCAGGGAGGTAGTGCTTCTTTTTTTAAGATAGGCTTTTTCTCCAACTTAGGCAGTTTGGGATATCTGCTCTTACCTTTAAGATCCCCAAAGTCCTTTTGAAACAATAGTGCCAAGGTTTGTTTGTTTACGGAAGGAGGGGCACTGGTCAAAATGTCTCTTGTGGTAGGATCCGAAGACCGCATCTCCATGTCTTCAAGAACATTAAGTAACTGCTGCACCCGTGCACTTCTGTATGGCTCTCCTAGAAGATGCCATTGCATAGCCTTTGGGTCTGTAACCCTCTTGGTAGCTAGTGGGGACCCTGGTATGGGGATAGCCGGTTTTTGCCAGCTTTCCTTTTCCTTTCCCTTTATAGGAGGAATCACTTTGTGGTGTTTGGGGCTCATAGATTCCCTGCCAGGTTTTGAAGTTACTGTGCCCTGAGAGTCCACAGTCTGCTTGTGACGGTTCACGATGACCTCAAGTATTGCCACATGCAGCCACTCCAGATCTCCCGTCGAGGTGAGGTCTTTGAGGAGCTGACACAGTCTGTGGAAACTGTCTCTACTAAGTTCTTCTCCTGCTTGCATCTGTCCTAAGACACTATGCAGCCATTCGAAGTCTGACATTCCTCCCACGGGATAGCGTTCCTCTGTCGAGATCTCAGGCAGAGGCGCCTGTGCCTTTGCTTGTCCTGCCAGAGGAGGATGCCGCTGCAAAACCCATTTGGCTTGTGGTGCTTGGGGTTGGAGTTTGCGAGCTTTCACGGCTCTTGTAAGCAACTGAGATGTGAATGGTTTGATGCTGGGTGTCGGTTCATACTCTGAGGTGGCATCCAAAAGGGGTGGGAGCTCTGGTTGGTATTTCTCCAACAATTCCCTCTCTTTATCCATCAGTTTTGTCCTTAGGGTTATCCTGGATGTCTCAAAGGCTGAAGCCTTTTCTTCTGCTTTCGTCACTTCTTGCGGCAATGGCTTCTTCCTTTCCACCTCCTCAGCTACTGGAGTCCGTTTTCCAGGAGGGCTTTTCAGTCCCTCCAGCTTTACAGCAGTCCCTCTGAGCTCAGTGAGTCCTTGTCCAATGGGATGGAGCATTTCCCTTTTTGACAGGATGACCCTCCTCATCATTTCCTGTGCCTTAAGCATTTCTCTTTTTAACAGCACCTCTTTCTTCTTCGCTTCTCCCGATAGGCGTTTCTCCTCTTCCTCTGCACTCACAATTTTCTTCTCCTCCTCGATCGTGCTTTCTTCCATCTCCACCTCTTCCTCCTCGTCCTCTACTTCCTCCTCTTCCTCCTCCTTCTCCTCCTCCTCCTCCTCATACACCCTTCCCATCTCTTCCTCTTCCTCCTCCCCCTTCTCCTCCTCCTCCTCCTCTTTCTCCTTTACCTCCTGTTCCTCCTCCTCTTCTCTCTCCATTTCCTCCTCCATTTCCTCCTCCTCTTTCTCCTCCTCTATCTCCTCCACTTTCTCCTCCCACTCCTCTCCCTCCTCCCCCTCTTCTCCCTCCTCCTCCTCCTGTTCCTCCTCCTCTTCCTCCTCCTCTGCTATCTCCTCGTCTTTCTTCTCCCTCTCCTCTTCCTCCTCCTCTTCCTCTCCCCTCAGCTCCTCCTCCTCTTCCTCTCCCCTCAGCTCCTCCTCCTCTCCTCTTTCTTCCTCAGACAGACTCTCTTTATCTACCTCTACTTCATCTATCAGGGTTTCCATCTCCTTGGTAAAGCTCTCCTTACACTCCACCTGTTCTAACAGATCGTAAAACTTTTCCGTTCCAGGAAGGGGCCCTGACGGTGTCTGTCTCCTCCTCCTCGAGCCTCTAAAGACTCCCTCTTCTCCCTGAAGGTCTTCGCCCTCCTCTGGGAGCTCTACCATATCCAGGACAAGCGAGTGCTCTTCCTCAGCCACTCTCTGCTCTTGGCTTTTCAGTTCTCTCATTTCCTTGGCCAGATGTCTCTGCATCTCAGCGAGTTTCTTCTCATCCCTGATGACTTCCGGTTCTTCTTCGTACGCATCCAGCTCCTTCGCGTCGAGTCTGTCCTCTTCCTTACTTAGCCTGGCCTCCTTCACAGCCAGCGTCCGCTTTATCTTCGTCATCTTTGCCTCTTTCTGGGTCGCCTTCCTTGCTTTGCTGACTAGCCTTTGAAGCACCTTCAAGGATTTTCTTGTTTGTGCTAGATCCCCGGAGACACTCATCTCTTTACCCATTCTCCTGGTCGCTTTGGCTAACTTCCTTTCTTCGTGGACCTGTATCCGCTGCCCTCTGCTAAGCTCCAGCTCCCCTTTGGCGGCGTTCTTCTCCTCAATAGCCAACAGTCTGTCCTCATAGGCCAGAATCTTCTCCTCCAGTGACAGTCGCTTCTTCATTAGGTCTATCTCGTGCTCCGTCATCCTTCGCTTCAGGATGTCCTCTTCAGTCCCTCTCCTGGAGAGCAGCTCTGACTCCTCTGCTAGCCTCACCTTCTCCTCAGCCACCTTCTTCATCTCCTCAGCCAGCGCCACCCCTTCTTCAGCAATCTCAGTCTCCTCTCTGAAAAGATTGCTTTGCAGGATTAGGACCTTAATCTCATCAGCTAACTTAATTTTCTCCTGGGCCAGCTTCCCTTGCTTTTCTGCCAGAATCACACCCGCCTCCTCCAGGTTCCCCTCTGCGTCGGCCAGCTTCTCCCTCTTTGACAGGAGGACCTGCTTCTCCTCCTTCAGCTTGCCCGTTAAGTGAAACAGCTTCTCCCTGTACAGCTCCAGCTTGGGTTTCACATCCCGTAGCTGCTCCTTCGCCTTGAGGACTTTGTCTTCGGAGTCATGGAGAGTGGCTTCCCTTTCCGCCAGTCTCTGCTTTTCCAGAGACAGCATGTACTTCTCCTGGGCCACGGTTTCTTCTTCCTGGGCCAGTCTGACCTTCTTTCCTTCCAGCTCTTTCCTTTTCTGGGTCAGTCTCTCCGTCTCCTGGGCCAGCTTCTCTCTCTTCTCCCTCAGTTTCTCCCTCCTGTCCAGCAGCACCGTGTCCTCCTCGGGAGTCCTGTCTTCCTTCTGGGACAGCTTTCTCTCTTCCTCCATCAGCATGGCCTCATCCTCGGCCAGTATTTTCTCTTCCAGGGACACATTCTCCTCTTGCCAGCTGAGCATCTTCTCCTCCTTGGCCAGCTTCTCCCTCTTCTCGGCCAGTTTCTCGTCTTCCTCGTTGAGCTCGTCCTCTTTCCAAGCCAGCTCCCTGGCGTCCCATTCCAGGCTCCTGGCTTCCTCTTTCAGCTCCTTTTCTTGCAAGTCCAGACTCAGCTCCTTTTGGGTCAGGGTTTCCATTTTCTGGGCCAACACTGCATTTATCTCAGCCACTTTGGCTGCTTTCTTTGCCGTTTTTTCTTCTTCACGAGCCAGTTTCTCCAACTTTCTGGCCAGTTTTCTTTTCTTCTGGGCCAGCCGCTCTGCTTGCTGACTTAGAAATTCCTCTTCCTGGGCCAGACGCTCTTCTTTCTCGCCAAGGGTCATCTCTACGTGGCCCGGCTTCCCATCTGCCGCGGCCCTTCTCACATACTCTTGGACTAGTCTCCTCTCTTCCTTGGCCAGTCTTTTCTCATCCTGGGCTAGCTTCTCCTCTTCTCTCGCTAGCAGCCTGTGCTCCCTGGCTCGTTGTCTTTCGGCTCGGGCTTGTTTCCACTGTGTCCTGGCCTCTCTCCGCGCCTGTCGGAGCTGTCTCTGCTCTCCCGTGAGAGCCTCTTCTGCAATCTCCTCCTCAGACTCCTCCGATTCTTCAGATAATATCTCCCCCATATCCAATTCCGTCTCCGTCTTGGTCTTCGCTATGACGTTTTCCCAGACCTGCTTCCATTCGTCCCATCTCAGCATCTTCTCCTCCGCTTCACCTATTTCCTCACTTGGTGCTGCCTCTCCTTCAGCCTGGAGTTGTTCCAGCTGTTCAAAATGCTTCCGGTCACATTCTTTCTTCCATTCTTCCCAAGATATTGCCCTTCGACCCTGGGCTCTATGCCACTCGTCCCACGCCTTCTTCCACTCTTCCCAACGCAGTCTCCTCTCTTCCCACCCCGGTTTTATTTCTGCTTCAATTGCTTCTCCTTCTCTTTCTTCTTCTCTTTCTCTTTCTTCTCTTTCTCTTTCTTCTTCTCTTTCTCCTTCTCCCCTTTCTTCTCCTTCTCCTCCTTCTTCTTCTTCTCCTTCTTGTTCTTCTCCTTCTCCTTCTTCTTCTTCTTCTTCTTCTCCTTCTTCTTCTTCTTCTTCTCCTTCTTCTTCTTCTTCTTCTCCTTCTTCTTCTTCTCCTTCTCCTCCTCCTCCTTCTCCTCCTCCTTCTTCTTCTGCCATTTCCTCTACTTCTGGAGTCACAGCCAACTCCTCCGTGGAGACTGCCCTCTCTTTGATGCCTTCTTTCATTTTCTCCTGTTTTGCCATCTTCTTAGCTTTCTTCCCCTCCTTCCTGGGCTTTCCCCTTCCTTTGACTACCTCCCCTGGTTCTAAGAAAGCGATTTCTTTCTTTTTGCCCTTTTGGGGAATCATTTCCTCCTCCTCCTTCGTTTCCAGTTCTCTTTCCAGCGTTTCTTCTTCTACTGCCTCTGGCATTTCTTCCTCGGCTGTGGTGACTGTCTCCTCTCCAACTGCTTCTTCAGGAACAAGAACTGATTTTTCCTCTTGCCACTCAATGCTCTCAGCCACATCACTCCCTTCTTTCTCCACCAGCGGGCAGATCTCCATAAAGAGTTCCCAGCTTGGGTGCTTATCCGTCAGTACCTCCTTAGCAGTAGCCAGTAGCTCAAGACCTAGGTCATCCACCATCTGAGTTTGGGAAGCAGCTACCCTCATGTTCACCAGTTGACAGAGATCGTCCCGCCAGTGGGTATCTGCAGTGAGAACCCTACCGGGCGTCCCCCCGACACCCCTCCCTGAGAATCTTGGCCTTCTCCTCCGTGGGGGAGGTTCCACTACATCTACTACGGGAGGCAAGATTTCCTCACCTATAACTACATCTTCAATTTCTTCTTTTTTCTTTTTCTTGGGCTTGCCTTGTTTTGGAGCTTTCTTGTCTCTCCTGTCTGTGATTTTCGACTTTTTTCTCAATTTCATGGCCACAGCAATGTGTTCCTTTAAGATGTCTTTCTCTGAAATTTCAATGTCTCTGGGGCTCTTTAATAGGCTCCCGACTGAAGTCCTGGAATGGGTTGGGACATCCTCGGTCGCTTCGGCTTCAACCTGATAGCTTGTCTCCTCTTGTCTCCGCTGTCTAGCAGCCTCTTTTGCTTTTCTGAGACCTCGCAACAGTTTCCGGGCTGCAGGAAAAATCAAGATATGGAAGTGAGAAAATTGTGGCAGGTGAATGAAACCCTCACTGAAGACCACAGGAAGGCTGGGGTCTGTCTCAATAAAATAAAGTAAATTTTAAAAAAGGTGTATCCCCTAGATTGTGCCTCCTTCCTTATCTGAGGTGGGGCAAGGATTTGAGGTCCTCCAGAATTTGTGTAGATCTTTCCTAGGAGAATTCTTTCTTCTGGCTCAACCTTTCTACTTCGTATGTTAAGACCCTCTCTAGTCCTAACTAGCTTTGCGCTTAGGGACCCAAACATGGGGCCCAATTGCCTCATACATACCTTGCCTTTTACGGGCTGGTCTTTGGCTTTTGCTGGGCTTGACCTCTTCATGAGCTGCCATAGGTAGCAAGGAAATGGGCTTACTAAGCACAGAAGACCCTGGGAGGGCTAAAGAAAAGTCAAGCTTTCTATCTCCTTTGGATAGTGACAGGTTCTCATTTAATCGCTGCTCTACTTGAGAGATGAGGATTTGAATGTCTGTGGGCCGCATCCCAAGAAGATGGTCCAGGGACTCCTCCCCGATCATCTCTTGCCTATGAAAATCAAGGAGAGAACAGACAGTGTTGAATTAGGCTCCAACAGGGACGGGGAGGGAAGAGCTGCTGCAGAGCAAACGGGTTTGACAGAGGGGCAAAGAAGGACTGCATATGACACAGAAGCCAAAATGAGGAGAGAAAACGTTCCTGGGAGCCAAGACAACTGTGATGCGAGGGTGCACTGTACAGGGGGAGCTGCAGATTGGGAGAACAAGAGGGAAGCTGGAACTTCAGGAGGTTAGGAGATGGAGAAGACACGGGGAAGCAAGAGCGGAGCCACCGAGGCCCTCAGAGACGCTCTAGGAATCAAAAGGGAGCATGGAAGAGGAGAAAGACTCATTAGGAGCAGTAAAGAGACAGCAAAAACAAGGGAACACTTGGAGCCGGGAAAAGAGCGTGCGCTGGTGATAGCGAGCAACTCACTGCAGATCCCGGAAAAGGTCTCGTTTCTGCATGAGGTTCAAGAGAGAGCTCTTTGAATGGATCCCAGTGTCAGGCATTAGGCTCATGGCTTTACTCCTCACTCTTTGGTCCTTGTCCATTAATCCCTGGGCCAGAGGCAAAGCAAAGAGGTGAGTGATCATTCCCAGCCGCTTCAGCCCTTCCCAGGCTAGTTCGCGGATAAGTGGGTTGGAATTTGTTGTGTCGTCTAGCAGATGGTGTGCTGTCTCCGAGCGCAGGGCTGGGGACACCTGGTAAGCGGCGAAGATTTGTCCCAATGCACCAATACAGCATTGGTATTTAAGTGGGTTGGCATGGACCATAATGTTGAGGATTGCCTCGATCAGGCTGTTAATGGCTAGTTCGCTCATCTTCTTCCCCAGCCAGCTGCGGTTTGCTGCGTCTGTAAGGACGCTGTAAGTGATGTCCTTAGTTAATCTCCTTTCTAGGAAGCTTTCATCCTCTTTCTCTGAAACGTGCCCCGTTATACTCATAGCTCTTATCTTGCTGTTCCAGAAGAAGAACGGATGCTTCTTTTCCCATTCCAGATCCCGCTGGGGCGAGTGCAGGCTGCACTGTAGGAATATGGGGCTGCCCTCTGGCCAAAGACGGGCACGGATCACTGAGTTGGGGATGTGGCAATCAGGAGCGAGAAGCCATTTCCTCCCTTGACCAAAGTAGCATCGTAATATCTGATAGGGGTTGAGTCCATCCCAGGCAGTCATCTGTAACTGAGGGGGAACCACATAATGAGTTTGGGGTTGCTTTTTCATCACATACAAGGCAGATCCCTCCAAATGATGCTTCCGGTGAGCACTCAGTAACACAGTGCTCCCATCTTCTTCTTCTTCTATGACATGTGGTACTTTATGGTCAAAGGCAATGGCCCGCTTGTTGACAAGGCACACCAGGCCTCTTAGGTCCTGTCTCCGCTGATCTTGGTAGCTATACTTAGGCACAAATATGGTCTCAAAGGAGAAGAAAAAGCTTGGTGCAAAAGGTTTGGGGACTTCTACCATGTCATCTGTTATGCTCATAAGGGCGAGGCGAGAGAGCATGATCGCGGGGAGCAACTCTAAGCAAGATACCAGATAAATACTCTGGTTGAAAGTCACCAGCAGGTCAGCCCGGTCATTTAAAAAGCAGAGTGGGCCAAAGTGCAGTGATGAGTCCAGCATGGCTATAAGTCGACCATGGAAGTCCCAGATGCGCACAGAGCCGTCAGAACCACCTGTGACAAAAAGACTCAAAGGCAAGCAGACATCAAAGGAGGTGATTGTACACTGGTGCAGAGGCAATGTCTCTATGAATCGGGTGCCTTGTTTTGACCCAAAGGACAGAAAATCATGGAACTTCCAGAGCCGTAGGCAGTTGGTGTCTGTAATGGCCCCTACAGCCCTTGGTAAGAGGACTAGGTGTCTTAGGTGACAGCTGCTGAGAATACTAGCCAGGCTCCGCAGTTGTAATCTGGACCCAACGAACACAACTTCTGACAACTGTATGTAGTCGTCAATCCCATAGGAACAAAGCAAAGAGTTTTCTCGGCTGCTCAGAAGCCCTCCGTAGAGTGCTGACAGAGCCAGGACAGCCCCAAAGTGCATGACTTTCTCGATTCTGACGCAGCTGTGCTGCGAAAGCACTCTTACTATTCCACTCTGATGCCCAGAGAATATTAGTCCCTTCAGCCCCCGCCCCAGATTGAAATTCCCATAAGCCAGGCACTGGACGAAGTCCTGAACATCCGGCGAGGTGCACAAGAGATACTTGACTGGGCAAGGGCTGCGGCTGGTGTCGAACACCAGCACCTCCGAGGTGCCCGTGGCCACCATGAGCTCCTCTTTACTGGGATCATAGGCCCAATCCACAGAGCGATCGAGGAGTGAGAAGGGCCAGGTGATAATCAAAAGATCCCCTGTTACAGGAGACACAAAGCGCAACAGGCCATCTTCAGTCGTGCACAGGATCCGGAAACAGTTGTCTTCACAGCGGACTCGGTGCAACTGCTGGGGAGCAGAACCACAGACATTGAAGAGTTTGTAGAAGCAGGGCAGACGGCGCAAGGAGAAAGTATGAGTTGTCTGGCAGAAGAAAGTAGTGGTGTCGATAAACTGGAGTTTGTGGAGCTCCTCGCCAAGTTCGAGTCGCCGGAGCAGGTTCCCTGAAGTAAGATTCCATTCCTTAACTACGCCTTCCTTGCCAGCTGTCAACAAGGTGTGGGCCTCTGACCGGTTCTGTATACCAACCACTACTGAGGAATGGGCCCTGAAGCTGTGGAGGGCCATGCTCCTCCCCAGGCTCCATACGTGGACTTCCCCAGCCTTGTTCCCAGCATAGATGAGTCTCCCATCGAGACTAGTCAGACAGCAGGTGATGGGAGAGCCGACGTTAGTGGTTGTGAACCTCTGGGCCTCTCTCAGGTGGCCATTGTCCTGTCGATCGAGGACTCTTAGCATAGTTTCACACAGCGCAACGAGGCAGCCGTTGGGGCCACTCAGAACAATATTCTGGACCAGTTCGTCCCCAGGCGTGGGAAACATCTGCATCATTTCGAGGCCCTTGCCACTTGGTTCAATGCTCCAGGTGACCACTGCCCCAATGATGCCAGACAGCAGCATCTTTGTTTCTGGATCAAAGCAGAGACAGCTGATATCAAAGCGGCAGGGCACGGTACACATGGATTTAAAGGCCATAAAGTGGTCCCCAAAGAGTCTCAGAGTCAAGTCGACACAGTAGGCCACGATGAGGTGAAAGGAGCCTGTGTGGACTATGGCCTGGATGACCGGCAGTCGCTCGGTCATTGGGAATGTTCTCCTTTCAACCATGTCGTCAGCTTTGCTCTTCATCCACACTACGGCCTGCAAGACAGTGAAGACAGTAGAGGAGAAAAGAAAAGAACCAAATGTCTAGCCAGGCCATCCTCTTTTCTTCCTTCCCCTCCCCTTTCTCTTTCTCCTTTTCTGTTTTCTTTTGGTTTTTTTGTTTTTTCAAGACAGGCTTTCTCTGTGTAGACTTAGCTGTCCTGGAACTCTCTCTGTAGCCCAGGCTGACCTCGAACTCACAGAGATCCGCCTGCCTCTGCCTCCCCAGTGCTAGGATTAAAGGCACCCGCCACCATTGCCTGCTTCTTTTTCCTTCTTCTTGACTTCTTGACAGGGCCTCCTTACGTAGCCCTGGTTGACTTAGAATTCACTGTATGGACCAAGTTGACCCTCCTCCTCCTCCTTCTATTTATTTATTCGTTTATATTTGACAGGGTCTTGCTTTGTAGCCCAGGCTGGCCTTGAACTCATGATCCTCCTAATATGAAAGGAACATCTCAGGTCACTGAGTGCTAGGATGACAGGTGTGTGGCGTCACATCAGGTTACCCTGTCGGTTTGTTTTGCTAAGAGCTATGAGAGGCTAGAATAATGTTTACCTTTAAGGAGTTGGAAAGAGGGTAGAGGAAGGGAGCCTTGAATCCTTTCTCTAACCTCAACTTCCTTTAGGGAAACCATGAATTCTCTACCCAGTGAACAATGTGAACAGGGAAATCCTGAACCTGGGTCTTATTCACTCAAGGGGTGGCTCTTCTTCCTCAGTTGAGAGCCATAAGGGTGTGGCCCTTGGAAGAGCGGAGAATGGGGGAAAGCAGGCTTACCAGTGTTTCTCTTGAGTAGGTCGTCACCCAGGAGAGGGAGGCAAAAAAGTGGGCTTCAATGAAGTAATGGCATATGAGCGGCATCGTCTGGGGATAGCGAGATTCTTTGAACAGTGCCTGGGATCGGTCACTCAGCACAACTACATCACTCTTTGCGTCCCCTGTGGGTTTCTGGGGAGAGATGTGGCATAAACTAATGTTTAGGCACTAACATATTGAGAGAGAGAGAGAGAGAGAGAGAGAGAGGAGAGAGAGAAGAGAGGAGAGAGAGGAGAGAGAGAGGAGAGAGGAGAGAGAGAGGAGAGAGAGGAGAGAGGAGAGAGAGAGCGAGGAGAGAGAGAGAGGAAAGAGAGGAGAGAGAGAGAGAGAGAGAGAGAGAGAGAGAGAGAGAGAGAGAGAGAGAGAGAGAGAGAGAGAGAGAGAGAGAGAATGGGAGGGACAGTTGTGGCACATGCCTTTTATTCTATTTATTCTAGCACTCAGAAGATAGACAGAAGCAGGCGGATCCCTGTGAGTTTGAGGCTAGCCTGGTCTACAGAGCGAGTTCCAGGACAGCCAGGACTGTGCAGAGAAACGGTCTTGAAAAGAAAAAAAAACAGCAAACAACAAAGATTGCAGCATTTCCCCAAATTATACTGAGATGGCGAATCTTGGTTGTCAGCCTCCATCAGATTTGCCCGTGGGCCTGTACAGGCATGTTTTCATTGCAAATTGATGCGTTAGGGCTCAACCCACTGAGGGCAGGTTGGCTGTGTGCAAACACTAACCCAGCAAATCAAAGGGCATAGGTCAGTAAGCAGTGTTCTTCCAGGGGTTTCTGCTTCAGTCACCTCCCTTGAGTCCCTGCTTTGGCTTCCCTTGCTGACGCTTTGTAAAATGAAATAACCCTCCCTTCCCAACTTTCCCTTGGTCAGTGTTCTATCACAGTGACAGAAAGCATACCAGAGCACACGCCCTTTCTCCTCCTGACTCCTGTGCACAGCACATGACACACTTCACAAGCATGTAAGAAGTCCCCCCAACGCAAAATGGAACCACACTTGTGTAGGCTCTAGATGACCAAGTCATATGATACAACTAGTCATACCCAGCTTTTAATATCTCCACACCTAAAAGGTGCATGGATCAGAAAGGACACAACATTTAACAGATTACTCAAACAAGGATATGTCCTTAGAGCCTCATGCAAAAGTCAGCATGGCTCAGAATTATTAAAGGTCAAAACTATACAAATTAGGAGCTGGTAAGATGACTCAATGGTTAAGAGCACTGGTTGCTCTGGCTGAGAGCCTACTTCTGGCTGCCAGCACCCACACTGTAGCTCACGATGGCCTGTAACTTCAGTTCTAGAGGATCCAGTGCCCTCTTCTGTTTTCCATAGGCCCTGAAGGCACATACAGGCAATGCATAACAAAACAAAACTATAAAAATAAATCTTAAAAAAAAACCAATAAACCTGCACAAGCCGGGCGTTGGTGGCGCACGCCTTTGGTCCCAGCACTGGGGAGGCAGAGGCAGGCGGATCTCTGAGTTTGAGGCCAGCTCATCTATTTGCATATGTAGTCACCAGTTGAACAGTTTGAGAAGGATTAGGAGATGTGTCCTGGTTGGAAGAGGTGCTTTCTTAGCTGTGTCTCCAGCATCATGCCTGTCTGTGTCTGTCTGTCTGTCTGTCTGTCCGTCCGTCCGTCCGCCCGCCCGCCCGCCCGTCTGCCTGCCTGCCTGCCTACCTGCCTGCCTGCCTGCTGCTATGCTCTCCACCGTGGTGAAGATGAAGTCACCCTCTAAAACTCCAAGAAAGCTCCCAATTAAATGCTTCCTCTTATAAGGGTTGTCTTGGTTATAGTGTCTCTTCAAAGCAACAGAGCAATGACTAAGACACTCTTCCCTTTCAGAAAATGTCTTTACCCACAGGGTGGTGCTTCTGACAATGCCCCCAAATGTTTATGTCCCACTACCATTATATCTGGAGAGACACTTACTTGGAAATTGGTGCCCCCCTTCTGTTGAGGTGACAACTGTCTTAGTGGTCTGCCTTGCTTTCTTCTTGCTTTCATGGACCATATATGGCTCTTTTTGAAGTGCCAATTACCATAAGGTGGATAGAAATCAACCAATATGTTAATGTCCTAAAAACACATGCCTTACCTTGCTTTTTTTAATGGTTTCATTCACGGAACGTATAAACTCATTCCACTTGGGAACGAGCCTGGTGGTAGACATCACTTGATTTTTCCCCTGGTCCTCCTCAGAATAGTTGTTGCAAACCTGTGGGTATCCAAAAGAGGGGTTCTTTTATGGGTTACTTTTCTAGAAGCTAGGATCCAGAAGGCAAGAACCATGGACCCCTGTTTTGAGTCCTTCCTTACTTTGTTTTTTTGATGCCCTCAGTTGGCTTTGAACTTCCTATACAGCAGAGGACGGCTTCACCTTCCAGTCCTCCTGCTCACCTCCCAAGTGCTGGGATTATAAGCATACTTCATCATGCCTGGTTTACGCAACGCTAGGCTGGAACCCAGGGCTTCATGCATGCAAGGAGGGTACTCTGCCAGGGAGCAGCATCCCTAAGGTGCTTTGCAAGACTGTTGCAAAGATCAAAGAGCGCTCCTGAGAAAGCCCTTGTAAGTACAGCCTGACGCAGCGGACGAGCACAAGTGGCTTTAGACTGCCTTGGGCTTCTATTTCTTCCCTCCTTCCCATTCCCCTTTCCTGCTGTTTGTCCCCAATCCCCTCCTCCCGGGTCTCCTTTTAGTTTTCTTCCCCTTTCCCTTCCCTTCCTACTTGCAGTTGTTCTACAAACATGACTAAGTTTATAGTCTGGCCAGCAGAGGGCAATGAAGGCCTAGTGTCGGCAGCTGAAGGACCACATCTTAGAAATGATTCCCAAAGCAGTGTTTTAGGAACTTGGTAGATTGCCCAGCAGTACTAGCCTTCAGCAATGGTGCACACCTCTAATCCCAGCACTCTGGAGGTAGAGGCAGGCAGATCTCTGAGTTTGAGGTCAGTCTGGTCTACACAATGAATTCAAGGACAGCTAAGGCTCCCAAGGAAAAAGGGGGGGGGGGGAGCAGGAAAGAAGGAATGGCAAATTGTCTTAGTTCAAACCCCAGCCCTTATTGCACTGTAAACTCCTTTGTAAGATCCAATGATAATTTGACTTCTAACCAGCTGAACTGCTGCCCACTAAAGAGGAGGACCATTGGACTAGAAAGCTGTTAGAGCTCCCAGCAGAATTCCCAGCATGTCTAAGCTTCGGTCCTGTGTTTGCACCTGAACTAGCCTGAATCTGAGAGGAAGCAGCAGAAAACAGAAATGTAGAGAGGGTGAGGGTCTGTCTGGGTGAAAGCCTCGTATGAAGATGGAAAAGAGAAAGATGTGTTCAAGACTACCTGTGATTCCAGTTCTTGGGAGGCTGAGGCAGAACGGGATAATGATTGGGTGTTATGTTGTCCTAGGTTAAATTAGAGAGTTCCAGGCCAGCCAGGACTAACACGAGTGACCCCCCTACCCCCACCCCACTGCCCAACTCAAGACTAAGAGCCAATCCATGGTTCTGAATCTATATCATATAAGGAGGTTCTTCCCACCAGCCTGTCATGAGGAAGCTCTCGCCCCCCACACCCACTCAAGAGTAGGCCTGGTACTGGGGTCTGGGATTGGGCGTCAGCCTCAGCATCTTGGCTCTGTCTGCACTCTCAAGTTCATGCATGCTGTCCTGTCTTCCAGGAGGAGCTGGTGTGACCTGCTTCCCGTCCTGCACACCAGTGAACAGCCTGTGGACCAGCCCCGTACCTGCAATGTACCCCATGGAGTCCTCCTCAAATCCCCAGGACCACTGAGATGTCACCTGTGACAAGTTAGCAGTCATTACCATTAGCGCCCGTTGGTTTCAATACACCCATCCAGTCCCACTTCTCAGCAGCGTACAAAGAAGCAGTCACAACTTTTGGGAGAATCATTGCTGGGGTTAGGGTGGGGCAAGTGAGTCTTCACCAAAATTTGTGGTTTTTGTCACTCCTGTCTTGAACTCATTTGTCAGGTGACCCAGAGGAAACCTTTCCCCTAAGCCCTTCCCAACTCCATTCCTAATTTCAGGGTTAATTCCTAAAAACAAGTCTGGAATGAGTTCTGGAGGAATTGGTTCCAATGGTATTGACGATCAACTTGATAACTCAGAAATGATTTCTTAGTAGCACTCAGTCTGTATGAGACAGACTAAGTATTTGCAACTAACATATGTTATTGAGCCCTGTCTATGGGGAAAACAAAACAAAACAAAACTCAAGTCAGTGCTTTTTTCCTTTTTCTTAGGTCAAGTCTCCAGTGTCTAAGAAAAAGCAGGAGGCATGAGAGAATCTGCAGGGGGCACTGTACTCCACCATACCGCACGCCTCTGTGCTCCCTCTGGGCACTCTGGCTTCAAGTGCCTGGAGTCTAACAGATAGGAGATACGGACTTCTTAGCAGCGAAAGGAGGCATCAATAAATAGCCACAAAACTGGTTAACAATGGGACAAAATTGTAGTCATTAAAATTTTTATCTGCAGCCTTTGTTTCAAACTTAAATCCCATTGGCAATATTCATAGTGTCCTTGGTGGTGTGTGTGTGCACACACATATGCATTTGAGCATGTGTGCTCAGGCTAGTCTTGTACTTTGGATTCAAATGGTCCTCCTGCCTCGACCACTTAGGAGTTTGCTGTCGTGCCTGACTTTTGTGATTCAGTTTTAGGAAGGAAGAGTACAATGTACTATGAGTATATATATAACAAGAAGTAGCAACCCAAAAGGCGGGTGACATGTGTTCCTAATTTGAGATAGGACCCTGAATGGATTAAAAGGCCTTGCCTTCCAGGCAGGTTTCACATTTGGGGACAGGAGTGTAGGAAGTCCAGCTGGGATCAGAGGGGCCTAGTTGATGGCAAGACCAGAGAGGCCACCTTGGCTGTTCTTTGTTCTTTCAGTGGCTTTACTGAGCGCTACTGTGGCAGACTCAAAGGGCCAGAATGCGCTCAACTTTCGTTATGGCAGACAAGCACACATTAATACAGCGGGCTAGCTTCCAGGGAATAGAAGAGATAGCTTGGATCCCTGGGAATAACAGGGCCCAGCACAAAGTGACAAAGCACTAAAATGGGTGTACTCCCAACAAAGGGAGCCAACAGTGGCAACTAAAACAGTGGCGTTTTATTAATGCTCCTAATACTACTTTGAAAAACGGTGTGTGTGCTTGTGTGGTGGTGGAGTCCTATGGACATGAAAGCAGGTGCTCTCTCTGGGAGGAGGCTGGAAGAGGTGGTCGGGTCCCCAGGAACTTGAGGGAAACTCATCTTCTCAAAGGATGTATGTGCTCCTAACCTCTGAGCCATCTTCCTAGGCCCTAGTTAATTCTTAGGATGGTACTAGGACTTAGCTATTTAGCTATTATTCTCCCTTAATTAACTTTTTTGTTGTTGATGTTTTCGAGACATGGTTTCTCTGTGTAGCCCTGGCTGTTCCGGAACTCACTTTGTAGACCAGGCTGGCCTTGAACTCACAAAGATCTGCCCACTTCTACCTTCCGAGTGCTGGGATTAAAGGCAGGCACCACCACCGCCTGGATCCTTAGTTAACTTTAAAAAACGAACATGGAAAAATACTGGAATTCTAAGGGTCATATAAACAAAATAAAGTCAATGTTTCACACTTGGACACCCAGTAATGTCCTGCCTGTATCTTTCTAATGGTGTTCTGCACATACACAAGTATAATACACATTTTCCTACGTACATGCTGTATATAGTATACATACATTCTCACTCTATCTAGAGATTAGCTCATATTAATATAGAGCTATACTTCATTTTGCAACAGTTGTCAGATGCAGGGTATATAACCCATCATTTACTCAGATTTCCATTAATGGACATTGATCCTGTGGGGGGGTCTCATGTAGCCTAGGCTAGCCTCAACCTTGCAATGTAGTCAAGAAATTCCCGATCCCCCTGCCTCTACTCCCCAAGTGCTAAAATTACAGACCCTCTACCACTGAATTTGGTTTGTTAACAGACATTGGGCAGTTTCCAACCTTTTGTTACAACAATCCATGCCACAAATGACTTTCTTAATGTCTCATATTTTAATTAACTTAAATGGTAAAACTGAAACAACAAACATATTTACAATCAAATAACATTTTAATGTATCAAGGCTCATTATTAAAATTCATCTTGATTGTTGTATGTAACATTTATTTTATTTAACTATTTATGTGAACCAGCAGGTTTAGTTAGAGTTACTTACAAGAGCAAGGTTGAGGGTTTATTTACATGGGCATGAGGAACTTACCATTAGTCATATCACTGAAGAAAATGTCTCTACCCCAGTAACCACTAACTGCCTATAGTCTCAGGGAAAGTAGGCTTCAGGATATATATATATATATATATACACCCCCCCCATCCTAACTCTGTAGCCTGGGATGGCCCAGAACTCACTGTGCAGTAACCCTCCTGCCTTCAGCCTTGTGAGTGCTGGGATTACAAGCCTGATTTTATGTAAAAATTAGAATTGGCCAGGTATAATAGTGCAACACCTGGAGGCAAGGCAGGCAATCTTTGTGAGTTCAAGGCCAGCTTAGTCTACATGGAAAGTTCCAGGCCAGCTAATTACATGGTAAGATCCGGTCTCAAAAATTAAAGTAAAATAGTGTATGTAGCTATTTCTGGTAGGTATTACTGCTTGAGATTACAATGACTTGGACTGGATGTATAAGACATTTTTGCTGAATGAATGAATGGACAACTGAATGAGCCCTTTGTTCTGGCCCAGTAAGAAGAAATGTGTGCTTCCCGTCGGGTCATAACGAACACCTTCCCTGGAAACAGGCTGAAGCAGAAAGTGTATGCATGAGGTTTATAAGGCCTGTGCAATGCTAGTCAGTCGCCTCCAACGGAGTGAGAAAGGCAATACCGTTTTGCTGTTCTTTTAAAGGTCGAATCCTCCCTTATTTCAGCGAGTGGATTAAATCTGGACATTTCCCTGGGTGTAGGCACTCAACAAACACTAGTTACCCTCAGACTGTGTCAGTATTGAACGAATGGAGGGGAAAAAGCCTGCCAGGCAGCCTCTAAGGCTCGTGATTCTGCGGCTCCCGTCTCGGGGACAGGTCTGGAGCCTCCGAGGAGGGAGAGAGGGACACACACCGGGCCGCGTCCTCACGTTCCGGCTCCGCGGATTCCGCACGGGCGGGAGGGTAGGTGTGTCTGCCTCCTTCGGGCAAGAGCCACGCCTGTTACCTGCGACAGCACTCCCGACAAGGGACAGCGAGCTTGGCGGCACCCGGGGGCTCCTATGCAGACGAACAGACCTAGGGGGACCAGGGAAGCTACGTTGAAAACGAAGAGGGAGGACGCCCACCGACAGAACGGTTAGTCCCGCAGCCCTGCACCTGCCGGACTGACCCGGGCGAGCAGAGCGAGCGCGTGTGCACGCTCGCACGCGCACGCGTTCCAAAAGGGGGTGGGAAAAAAAGGCCCCCTCCCTCGACCCCCGCCCCGAGGGGGACCCGCATCCACCCAGGCCCGAGTCCGCCGAAGAGCGCGCGTGCGCGCCGCCGCCGTCCCGCTCCGCCCGGCGCTGAGGGGGGTCTAGCGCACAGCTCCGGTCTTCCCGCCCCTCCCCAGGCTCGCAGGCGCGGGTAATAGACTCCAGCCCAGTGGAGGGAGCCGGCCGACGGCTCCCAGAGCAGAGGGAGAAGGCGTTGGCGGCTGGGAGAAAGGAGAAACCGGTCGAGCAGGGTGAAGAGCGAGGCTCGCGGGCTGGAGCCAGCACAAGACACGCCTCCCTGCCTCACGCCCCTCGGGGCTGCGGAAGTCCTCCCGGAGACTGGAGCTGCACCGAAGCGTCCTGCGGACTACCGTTCCCAGAAGGCGGTGCGGCGGTACGCCTACGACTCCCGGCAGCCCCCGCTCGCCAGGCTCGCTTCAGCGCGCTGCTTCGCGGGGAGAAACTACAGTTCCCACGAGGCCTCGCGCGAAGCGGCTTGGAAGTGGGCAGCCTGGAAGTCACTCGGGCCACTGGAGCTGGCGGCGTCTCTAGCGAGCCGCGCGGAGCCGGACGCCGCGGTCGAGGAGCCCGCGGGGCGTGCAGCCGGGACGGCTAGGTACGTGGCTCCGGGTGCAGGAGCAGTCTCGCGTAAGGGCGGTGGGGAATTGGTGGCTGCTCGGACCCCGAGGGTCAGCGCAGGCGGGTGACCAGGCGGACGGCCGGGTGTGGGCATCGGCTGTGGGGGGCGGCAGCGCCGGCACTCACGCCCTCCGTACCCGGCGGGACTCGTGCCCGCATGGCTCAACTTTCCAGACGTGCTACCGGGCACTGTGGGGAAGAGCCTGGAGTCTGGGAGCCGTGGGTGCACGTCCCAGCTCTGCCACTCTGGAGCTGCTGCGGTCTGGGAAAACCGCGCCGAACCTCATTTTTGCCTTCGGTAAAACGGGGAACGGGAATGTCTTTGGCTGGTAATTCTTTTGAGACGTTGAGATCTGGTGAAAAGGGCATTTCACGTTGGAGACACTTATCCCGGGCTTGCGTTATTGTTAGCTCCTGGAGAAATGAGGTGAAGATACCGTAGATTGCATTGCATGCCAGTTAGTTTACCATGTGCATGTAAAGACGCGAATCCATAGTTAGCACCCAGTGCAGGGGATCATTTTGATAAGAGCTTTTGCTTGTGAAGAAGAGAGAGCGTGTGTTCAAATTTAGGTTTTGCCTTGCGCCAGCTGGCTGTGTGACCTTGGGCAACTAACTTCACCCCTCTGTGCCTTAGTTTCCCTTTCCCTGACTAAATATAAGATGGAGACTTCAGTGGAAGCCACCTCGTAGAGCTGTTTTGAAGATGTATGAGAACACCCTGTGTGAAAGGCTGAGCACAGCTGCTGGCACGTAGCAGTCTGTGAATGCTATCATTTATTCAGCGTTTCTGGGTAACTTAGAGACCCTGTGTGAGGAGGGTTCTGACTGTAGCATTGGTCCCCCGAGTGGACCAGATTCAACACTGGTCCAGTCGGCTTTCCCATCTGCACACGTGCCCCTCATTTATAAAAACGGGACAATAGCGCTATTACCCGGGTAAGGTGGTGAGGATTTGCCGAACACTAGGCTGAGCCATCCCTCACTGAGTGGCAGCTCTCATGTGTTGTGATTGTTCTTCAATGTTCTCCATCTGGCCCAGAGACTGCCTGACTGTGGGCTGTGACATGACAGCCCTGAGCTCCCCCACACGTTCGCTCCCAGCCTCAGTGTCCCATCTGTGAAATGGTAGTCATAGGACTTCTATGCCAGGATTGTTCTGGTTCCAGGAGCTATTCTGTGGTTAGCACGGAGCCCAAGCTCCGTGAATGCCCCTCTCTTTTTCCGCAGGAAGCCTTTCCTGGCTCCGTCTGTACCTGGAGGGCAGAGGGCAAGGTTAGTGTCCCCAGTCCTCGAGGTTTACTCAGCAAAGGTTACGTTGTGGAACGCGTTTTAGTTTAAGGGCCTGAGAAGAGGCAGTACTGCCTTGCTGTCA